TTGCCTAAATAATTCATAGCCACTTAATTAATTAATTAAAAATATTCTATTTTTTATTATTAAATACGTCTGAATATATTAAAGTGATAAGAGTTTTCTGACTATATTAAAATCTAAATCCATTAAATTTAACTGCGGGATAAAATTATCAAACAGCTCACCCTCTTGCATCAACTTACTAACATCATGAAATGCCAGAGCTGCCTAGTGTGATTCTGAGCAGGAGACTAGTACTTAGTGGAGATTCCACCGCCAGGAGGATTCTGCCACAAGCTCTTGGTAATTCATAAGACGATAACATATATATATGAGAATGAAAGGCCAACTACAAGAACCACAACGGCAGAGGCCAGAATACTATATCGAATGCACGATGATGACGAAGGGCCAAACAACCAACTACTTTAAACCTTCACTAACCTAACACGACTACTATTTCCATTGGTGTCAAATAAGAGGCTCAGATCAGGCGCGGCAAAGAATAGTACTCTTTCTCATTGGTTTGATTGCAGAAGAAAGGAAATAGTACCTAAAGTCAAAGCCACCGATATTTAAAGCACCTGCTGCTGGGTACGAAGGCATTTTGAAATCAAAATTCAGAATTAACTATCGAAAGAATCGTAACCAAGACAGGATGAACCGAACAAGCAACGTAAATGTCAAAACATATCATTGTCAAGTCCAGTGGAGATGCTTAATTTGCTATGATAGAATAAACTAGCATTGCATTGAAAACCATCAGATTAATTAATGATTTAGAAACCGAATAATCTAACATGCGTGTAGGTGAAGGTGTAGGTTACATTATCTAAATAACGCCAGGGCTCCAAAGACTAAAGAAATGCCATTTTTTAGTCCGTCAGCACTGCTCCATACTTCATCCCGTGCACAAATTTAAGGAACATTTAATTTCTTTTGATGGAAGCCATGGCTCAGTTTCCAGACATAGAAGCAAACTATCTATTGCTTCCAATCTTCCTCTTACCATTACTCTATCTCATCTTCAAGCAATGGAAATATCCTTTTGCAACAAAGTCTCCGCCAATTCCACCAGGGCCAACTCCATGGCCTGTCTTGGGCAATATCCCTCATATGGGAAGATTACCTCATGTCACACTCTGCAATTTTGCTCAAACTTATGGTCCACTGATATGTCTCAAGTTAGGCACTCAATACACGGTCGTGGGATCATCCCCTGCAGCTGCGATTGAAATCCTGAAAACTCATGATCGGAGTCTGTCCGCGCGATATGTTCCCAAGGTAGTTCCTGCTAGACAGGAAGAACTCAACCGTTCATCGATCGGATGGACTGAAGTATGCAATGATGGATGGAAGTACTTGAGGACACTGTGCAGAACCGAGCTTTTCTCAGTTAGAGCATTGGATAATCAATCATGCTTAAGAGAGAAAAAGATCTCGGACATGGTCGAGCATTTAAGGGCTAAGAAGGAAGGTCAAGTTGTGGATATCGGAGAGCTAGTATTTGCGACGATCTTCAACATGTTGAGCAATGTAATGGTGTCAAGAGATCTTATCGGCTTGGAAGAAGAAAGTGCTGGTGAGGGGATGAAAAGTCTAGTGAGAACAGTCATGGAGGTGGCCACTGCCCCAAATGTATCAGATTTTTATCCACTATTGTGCAAGCTTGATCTTCAGGGTCTCCGGAAGAAGTCAACTAATCTGGGAATCAAGATTCGTGCTGCTTGGGAACCTATCATTGAAGAGAGGAGGCGACAGGGTGCCCCTTTGACTTTGAGCCAAGAAGACTTTCTGGACACCTTGCTTCAGAATAATTTTACAAATGAACGAATTCACCAATTACTCATGGTCCTCTCTCTCTCTCTCTCTCTCTCTCTCTCTCTAATGCAAATGCACACTCACTCTATCACTAGATCAAGTATCCACAAAATTTCTTCATGTTCTTCAAGCATGGCCTACTTGGCTACCTTGATTCATATATCTCTCTGGGTTTGCCGAATCCAGCTATCATATCTCTCTAGATTGGTTAATTATCGAATCCTTGCTCTTTCATACTATCATCTTAGGACTAACATGGACATAGATATTAGCTAAAGCTTATATATGGGATTAAACTTTATATTCAGTAATGATGCAGTAGTTTTTTTTACTTGAATAGGTCTTAAGATATATGAAATTTGTCCCTGGAGTTTTGTCTGCATAATATGATGAATAAATTTAGAGTTGAATCTGCAACTAGAGCTGTCTTTTAAAAAGATCATGCAACACTTCAAGCTGTTGAGCTGTTGGTGTATAAATAATGAATTTCTCATTGTTTACAACAGCCAGAGATTCCCATTCAATTGCAAATGCAGTAATACATTATAATTTTGGTGTACTAGGAATTGTTCACTGCTGGGACAGACACTAGTACTTTAACAATTGAATGGGCAATGGCAGAACTAGTGAAGAATCCAGATTCCAGAGTCTATGATGAAAGTGCGTGAAGAGCTTGGAAGAGAAATCAATCAAGATTTGCCAAAAGAGTCTCATCTAATGCAACTACCATATCTGCAGGCCTGCATTAAGGAGACCTTCAGGCTGCACCCTCCTGCCCCTTTGCTACTTCCGCACCGTGCCCCTGAAGCATGTCAAGTCATGAATTACACTATTCCTAAAAATGCTCAAGTTTTAGTGAATGTTTGGGCCATTGGACGAGACCCTGGAATTTGGGATGAACCATTGAAGTTTAAACCTGAGAGATTTCTGAGTTGTAGTTTGGATTATAAAGGGAATGATTTTGAGCTCTTACCGTTTGGGAGTGGAAGAAGAATCTGCCCTGGCCTGCCCATGGCTGCCAGGCATGTTCCTTTGGTTCTTGCGTCGTTGATTCACTGCTTTGATTGGTCGCTTCCCGAAGGAAAAGATCCTCAGCAATTAGATATGAATGAAAAGTTTGGTGTGACATTGGAGAAGGAACAACCATTGCTTCTCATCCCTAAAGCAAGATCATGATCAATCAAATTCTGCCATCTCTTTTTGCTTCCTGAATTGAAGAAAATCTCTCCATGCATTGTGGCTCTTGTTGTTTCGTTCGTAATTGTTTCTCTTCGTGCTTTATTATGTCAACCTGCATTGGAATAGATCGTATTCTGCAAAAATTGTGTCAAGTTACTGAGATCAAGAAACTTTTAGTTTGTAATAATTTCCTCGACAAAACTTTGATGATATTTGAACTGCAACGTGCATGGGGCGGCGCATGAGCCTGCCAACAGAATGGATGAGAAACCTGTTTTGAAATGCTTAAAAATGTGAAATCTGAAACCAAGAACACAAAAGAAATAGTACGTCATTTTGTCAATTTATCTTATATCCATCTCAATCGGAAAAGGCAAAAGATTTTTTTTTTTTTTTTTTTCCAAATAGAGTAGTAGTCCATAAAGCAAATGAATGGCAAGAATTTTGTCAAAAAAGGTGACGGTGCATAAAGAAAATGAACGGCAAGAAACAGAGTAACATTCCATAAACAAAACGAATGACAAGAATTTTTTTTTTTTTTTAAAAGAAGAACGACAAGAATTTTGTCAAAACGGTGTGATTGTCCAAACGATATTGAATAAAATTGGGCTCATTTAGGCATAGAATGGAAAACAATAAGAGAACAGACTTTTCTCTTGATTACGAATCTTAAGTTGAAAAGACAAAAAATGGAAGAAACGAATAGTTTAAAGAGCTTAACATTTTAGACGAAGAGATTTATTGAGAAACAGTGAACTATACAAGATCATACACTTTTTGGTCGGGATTCTGACTTTGCTTGAGAAAGACATTAGAGAATTAATGGGTGTTTTGGAGTTGATACTGATAAGTTTTTTTGGAGAACTTTTCCATATAACTCCTTAAATACGTTTTCGTTCCCATTTTGTCAATTTATGCATATAATCATGAATTTGTTTATCATATTTTAAGTTGAAAATGCAGGCGGCATAGAACAGTTATCTCTCATTGATTTGCAAAAGAGGTTTACTAGTGCATGGAGAGGTAAGATTGCGACTCCATTTCACTTGACTATCCACTTTTTGATGCTTGCAACATTGTCCACAGATGCAATGGTATCTTCTCAATTGCATATTTCTACTAAAAACGTAAAAAATTGAACTTTTTCATTATGCAAGAACTTGCTTGTCCATATCGATCCACCTTAGCTTTTTCAAGACAAGAAAATCTTCGAATTGGAGGAGCGCAACCGAGTTCTAAAACTCAAAAGCCCTACAAGGGATACATTGTATGGCTTTTTCATTATGTCTGGCATTTGTAAATTTGCATCAACTGCCAAGTGGAGTCCAATCATTAAGTGCATATTATGATTCAGGATATGACTGCTTAGCAATTACCTCTGCAGTGCATATTATGCCGTAGGCTGGTAGGCGTCATTTAGTGGCAGCTAAGAGAGTAGCAGGTCCGGCAGCTGCAGAATATATACACCAGACTTGGTGAATCTATTTTACAAACACTATAGCAAAAAATCTTCAGTTGATGCAAGTTATGGCTCAGCTTTTTGCAACAGGAGGTAATTATCTCTTGTTCCCAGTCTTCCTCTTACTTGTACTCTTTTTCATCTTTAAGCAACTGAAACATTCTTTGGCATCAAAGACCTTGCCACTTCCACCAGGGCCAACACCATGGCCAATATTAGGCAACATTGTTCACATGGGAATATTATTATCTCATGTCGCTCTATCAAACTTTGCTCAGACATATGGTCCTATAATATCACTTAGACTAGGAACTCAGCATGTGATAGTTGGATCATCACCCTCAGCTGCAACAGAAATTCTTAAGACTCGTGATCGGATTTTATTAGCAAGATATGTTCCTCAGGTGGTGGATCTGCTACAGCAGAACTCAATTGTTCATCAATTGGATGGGCAGAAGAATGCAATGACGGATGGAAGTACTTGCGTACCCTGTGCCAATCTGAGCTCTTCTCAGGTAAAGCACTAGATTCACAAGGATGCTTGAGAGAAAAGAAGATTATGGACATGGTGGACTTTTTGAGGGCCAAGGAAGGTCGGCTGGTGAGCCAAGGCGAGGTGAACATTGTAACAATTTTTAACATGTTGCACAATATATTGTTGTCAAGAGATCTTGCTGGTTTGGAAGAAGAGGGCATAGAGAGTGGTATCAAATCTCTTGTAACAACAGCCATGGAAGTGTCTGCTGCTCAAAATGTATCAGATTTCTATCCATTTTTAGGCAAACTAGATCTTCAAGGTCTTCACAAAAAGACGTTAAAGTTTCTCACCAAAATTCGATGCACGCACCCGGGAGCCCCTTATCGAAGAGAAAAGAAATAGAGATACATCAAAGCAGCAAGATTTCTAGCACCACCTGCTCAAGAATGGTTTCACCAAGGACCGAATCCACCAATTGTTTCTGATTTGCACCAGTAAGACATCCATACAAGTACTACACAATGTCATATGTCGACAGAGTCCTAGTCTATAGTCTATACTGATACTAGCTTATCAGGGAATGTAGGAATTGTTTCAGGCGGTCAGAGACACCAGTACCTGTACAATTCAATGGAAAATGGCTGAGCTTGTAAAAAATCCAGAAAAGATGAAGCAAGTTCATGAAGAGCTCCAAAGAGAAATCAAGCATAATTTTCTGAGAGAATCACATCCAATGCAGCAGCTACCTTATCTCGAGGCCTGTGTTAAAGAAGCTCTGCAGTTGCATCCTCCTGCACCATTGCTACTTCCTCACCATGCATCGTACAATACCTAAAAATGCTCAAGTATCAATTAATGTATGGGCTATTGGATGAGACCCTTCATTATGGGATGAACCAGAATTCAAACCAGAAAGATTTCGAAGTTCTGCTTTGGACTATTAAGGGAATGATTTTGAATTCTCTTAATGCCTCCTTAAGCAAATAATCTGACAATGCTGAGCCACTGCTTGACTACTTCTATTGATAGTTCAGTTTTTAAGGTAGAAAGGAGTCATTTCATGACATTATTTTTTCTTCCCTTGCTATTTTTCATCCTTAAAAATTCAAATCTTAATTTGCATCAAAACATCAAAGCTCCCACCATGACTGACTCCAATACCTAATTGGGTTATCCTCTTCATCTGGGGAATGCCTAATGTCCTTCCATCAAAATTTACTTGAAAGCATGGTCCTCACACGTTACCCAATCTAGGAACTCAGTACATGATTGTGGCATCATCATCTCCATTGGCAAATCTGGCAATGGAAATCATGCGGTATCATGATGGGGTTTTGTCAGCATGATTTTTTCCTCATTTATTTCCACTTACTGAGGCTGAACGTAACTGTTCAACTATGGGATTGAAGCCTATTTGAAGGAAGAATGTGTTGCTGGATGGAAGAACTTGCATACCTTTGCAGAAATAAGCTTTTCTCAAGTAAAGCGCCAAGACCAATTAAGAGCTGGTCTATATTGAATAGTTGGTCTTCACGACTTTCCCAAAATCAGGGTCTGCTGAGAGATCCTATCAAATGCGGATGCTATTTCTTCAGGCTGGGGTTAAAGAAACATTAAAGTTGAACCATTTCTGATTCCTTCTCGAGTTCCTGAAACATTCCAGGCGATGGATTACACGATTCCCTAAAATGCTCAAGTATTTGTGAATGTTTAGGCTATCAGATGAGAGACCCTTCAGTATGGGATAGCCAATAGAATTCAGAAAACTGAGATTTCTTAGTTTTTCTTTTTTGACTTCCTACTTGGCCTTTGGGACTGCAAAGAGAATCTGCCAACTCATGGCTGCAGCAGCACATATTTTCTTGCTCCTGGCAGCATTGGTTCAATTCTTTGATTGGCCTCTTCCTCAATTGATCCGAGGCAACTGAACATGAATGGTAAGTTTTGATGCAACATTGCAGAAGGAACAATTACTAATCGTCATCCCTAAAGCAAGATAATGAGCAGCAGAGACCTGGACTCTCTCTCTCTCTCTCTCTCTCTCTCTCTCTCTCTCTCTCTGCGTTTCAGTTCAGTTGTTGATAAATATAACGAATTGCCTTTTTTGTCTTCCTCCATCCATGTATCTATATCTATGTAACTATGAGCGTTTGATTGATTTGGCAAAGTTTATGTTCTTTTTTAGCAGAAAGACAAAATTTTCAGTGTTTACGGACGCTTGTCACCAAGCATCTTTCATACCTAAAATTTTAATTTTAGAATAGAATCTCCAAAAACTTCAAATTAGATTTGATGTTAATGTTTCAGCTAAGTTGAATGCTGCAGCTTCCTTTTATGGCCTTGTTTCTGATTATATCTAAAGGATATATTTGTCAGCGAGCATTTTAGTGTTCTGCCCTGGATGATAGAAATGTTGGCTCAGTACAAACTTAGACTAGCAATTGCATCGGTTTTGATTGTCAATGCGCATGTATAACTATGACTTGGACTCCAACCTGTGAGAATCAGCAGTTTCAAAGAACTCTGTCTCAAATATCATTTCATGCAATTGATAAGCGACTGTTTGTCTTTTGATTTAAACATTGGCAACATAAGTTTCTGGCTTCATTACTGCTTTGCACAATTGTATAACTTGTTCTTTACTTTAAAGAAGTAAAAACAATCACTCATAACAATATAGTCCTGTAAGACTCTTGAATAAGATACCAAGAAAATCACTTTATTTCAGACAAGTGTAAGGATCAACTACTGCATTGCCAAAGAATATATGCTCCTGGCAATTTGAAAAAAAAGAAAAAAGAAAACGACTCAAATTACAGTATTGAGAAAGAATTCCAGATTACATAAAGAATCAAAGAATCAACAGCAATGTAATAGCAAGACTATATGGTGAATTCTAGAAATCTGCCTAGTATAACTGCAAAGCTGTAGGACCTGTATCATAAAAATGGTTCTTGCCTAGCAGAAGGCGTATCTCGACTCTTATCTGCAATAAAGAATGAAAGAATAATGACAAACTCCTCTACCTACAAAGAATTGGCTATCCTGTCCTGTATGTGACAAATGACAGTTATGTTGAGTATGAAGAAGAATCAGCAAGATATCAATCAACTCTCTGAGAAAACGATGACGAGCTGCCTGCAACGTCAATTGACCACCATGCTGAGATTGTGTAAAGAGGCTGATCTAACCAACTCAATGTAAGTGCTGCTCCATCCTCACCCTGCTTCTCCACCTTATAATTCTCAGAACCATACATCTTCAACAGCATTCGACTCTGCAGTAATTCCCTCTCCCCAGTGTTTAATGATCGAAAACCACCCTGCTCCATCATCTTCTGCCACTTCACAAAACCTTGATGCCTTTCAAACCTTTCTTGTCCTTCGCATGCAATGATGTTCCTGATTTCACGGGCGAACATTTCCTCAATCTTCATCCTAATTGGACTATCTGCTGCAATGTTTTCTTCAAGAGAGTCAAAAATGGCAGAATAATACTTCAACGAATTGGTGAGCCTTGTTTCAAAGCCAGGACCATTGTGCTCAGCTTCTTGCTCTCCCATAAGAACAACTGTGGGGTTTGTGCTACGAATTAGCCCCAAAAAATCCCTCAGAACGCCACCTGTACTATCATAAAGCATCTTGTGTAACTGAAAGATGCAGTTGACGGCCACACTTTCTTTCTCCTTAACATGAAGCATCCAGAGCCTCACATCTTCTAACCTATCAACCACTGGATGAAACTCGAAAGGCAGATTTAATGCCTCAGCAAATCCAGCTAGCCTATCTCCCGTTTCAATCAACTCCTGTTTGGATTCACCTATACCAGTAATCCTTATATGGCTGGGAGGATTTGTCCTAGAAGCCAAACTCTGAAACAGACTAGGCCATTGAAGCCCTTGCTTGATGTCAAAATCTATTATGTGAACCCTGTCCTTTCCTTCAAAAGCTCTCAACAGGATCTCATTTGATGTAAAATGTATAAACCTTGGAATTGGACTGACCTGATTCAAAAGCCTCAACGAAGTACCACAATCATCATCAACACGATCAAGATCCCGAGGTGGTGAAATATGAAATATATGAGGCCAAAACCTAGCAACTCGCAGAGATAAGGCCTCGGTGAAGTAAGCAGTGAGGCGACTTATAGGAGATCCCCTTGGAGAAGCGAGCTCCCCTAATCTGGCTATAAAATGGTTAATGGCCAGAATGTTCTTCGAGGCAATTGCATCAGCACAAGCTACTAGTAAGCTGACAAGCTCAAAACCATCATGTTCCCTGTGGTTGTCATCGTCATTTTGGCCTGCTACAACCTCAGCAATCTCACTTGTATTAGGCCGTTTAGAGCCATTGCCAATCTCATGCTCTGTGGGATTCTCGTTTAGCCTCAGAACCAAACCTTGACTCTCCGATGAAGTACTTGATGCAGAAGCCTCTTTTGCTGGACCCTGACCAGTCTCCACATTCTTGTCACCTAAGTCTGTAATTTGAGTGACAACAGATTCCACCCAAGGATTGTTTGATAAAGGCAAAGGCGGTGATATGACGTCGCTGGGCACAAAACACACACGGTCCTCATCTCCAGAATATGAAAGAGAGAGAGGAATTTGTGGTGAACTAAGCCCTGCAATCAATGGAACCGATCGAGGCACATCAAAAGGCGGTTGTTGCAACCAAAAACTCCCACTTCCCAATTGGCCTAAAGTCAGCTTCTTTTCTTCCTCTGGAAAATCTTGGGACTTCCCATTTCCCCTTTTCCTCTTAGCTCTAATCATACAGGACTCATCATCATCACCAGCAAAAGGACCTTGCTCTGCATACCTCTTCAAGCTCTTGTTTTTCTCCCAAAACTCATTTCTGTTCTCTTTCCTACTACCCTCAATATATGCTCCAGTCTGTGCAGTCGTAGCCGAAGGAGGTAACCTGATGTTCTGCTTAAGGGAACAGCTACTGGTCTTGGCTTCAATAGGCTTATCAACAGAAAGGCCTACAGGCCTGATGGTTTGGTTCCTCGGTGTATCTTTTCGTGTGAAACTACATGGCAAATCCAATCTTTGTGTGCTCATTGAAGGGAAATGACAGGCTTGGAACTGTGCAGGTGCTTCACTCCTCAATCTATGCCTAGGTGACAACAATGTGGAAGAGCACCCAGCCAACATTCTTCAGACCCTTCCTCCAATGTTCCTTGATTTCTTCTTTTTTTTCTTCCTAAACTCCACTCACCCTCCACCCTTGACTTCACTATGTTTCTCTCTATTCCTCTCAAAAGTTTTAAATTTAAAAGGATGAAGTTTACAAACACCTTTGGATAAAATTCTTTTTCAATTGGTATAAACTTTGTTCAAGTAATATTTCTTTTTGAAGAGAAATCAAGAGAAACAGAATAATGCGTCTCTACACAATGTGAGTGTGTGAAGTTTCAAGAAATCAAAAACAAACAAAAACAGGAATCCGATGCCAAAACAAAATAACAACAGAATCAGTGAAAATCTCTACAATAAATGTTTGTGTGTCCTATATGATGAATAAACATGTATGACAGTATATGTGCAACAAAGAATAAAATCAGCAAACTCGAAAAATTCAACGGAAAGAATCAAAGAATTAAAAGACAAATAATCAATCAATATACCTAACAAATGACCATCGGATTCCACAAAATCTAAAACAAACTCATTGGAAAGAAATGTACTTTTTATGCTGATCGATACTCAACCCACCAATGCAAATGCAAACACCTCCTAGCACATACAAGCAGCTGAAAAAATCACAAACTGGGAAGCACAGATCGTCTTTTAACACATTCAAATACTCCATGCTAGCTGAAACTGATGTA